AGCGAAGCCAGGAATTCATGGAGAATTTCATTCACATGAATATCATCTCAGGAGTTCACTTGATGAGGATGGAATTCATTTTTGTTCCAAGTAAGATCAATTCGAGACCTTGTGCAATAGTAGCGCAGAATGTCTTACAAGTTGATGACAATCACACGTTGACCCTTTCGGTACGACGGCCGTTTTCGGCTGAGGAGCGGTTCGGACGGCTACGATGAACGCATGGGTGTTCTTTCAATTAAGAGCTTATGGGGCGCCCTGGCCGAGTGGTTGTAATGCTGGTTGTAGCGCGCGTGAAGCCGAGTTTCCCTCCCTCCCCCCCCCCCCCCCCCAACACTCTCCGGCAGTCAACAAGAACGCCCTATGGACCGACTCAGCCAGACTATCCTCAAGATGCAAGGGACATGCTCGACCAGTATTCTACGTCATTCAAGAAGGCGAACAACAAATCGAATGATAGAAGTCCTGTGATCCGCAAATAAAAATTGTGAAGACGGGTCGTGCAAATGAATTGAGAAAAATACCTAAACAAAAGTCTTTTTATTTCTCTTACTGAAAAGCACTTATGCAGAATTCTTTGTAGTGATATATATTCGTCGCTTATTGACGGTAAATTTCCTTGAAAACCTTAATTTACCAAATAAGTAAGAAGAAAACCAAGGCTTTCGGCTCTGATTTATTCTTGAGGGATACGTTCGAAGTGATTGAATGCTTACCTGCGCTGGCCTTTACAGTGACTAGTGGTGCCTTATTGATGTAACAAGTCAGTGCTGCTATCCTCCCATGAAATTCTGGTATCAATTCACACCCCCAAAGGATGTGAGGCTTGATGAGTTTTGAGCACGGGATCGAACAATCGACCATCGACCGATCGACCACGTGTCTTGAAAAGCACATCTAGGCACTGCGCTACACGCGCTCTTATCAAATAAGTATATTTTTTATTGGAGGTTGTGCTAATGTTCGGAAAGTGTCCAAACACTGAGAACAGACGTCTATTGTTTTCGTGATTTACCGCAGCGAAAGGGTTAATACTTATCGTTCTGGATCCTTTAAAATAACCAAGCTTTTTTTCTGTCTTGACTTTTTTTCTGTTTTTGATTTGAGGTGTGGATCTGGGAGCAAACGAGAGGATGGTCCACATCATTGCACTTGTGCTGATCCGAGCTCCGTGAGTACGTTCTCCACAGTTGAGGTCGCCCACACATTCCAACTCGGTACGAATTATTTGCTATCCAGTAATAACAAGGACAATAGGATACATATCCGAGAGACTTTTGAGATCTTATATTACTTGCTTGTATACATGGACGGTCCGTCTTTACGAATCGTGCGGTCCTCAGCACATGAAAATGTGCTGGTTTAGCTGTCTTGTTCCCTGAAGTCCCCACGTAAGCCTAGCCGCGACTTTCTCAGGTCGTCACCACATTAGAGCAGTCGCAGGCCTTTGTGGATCAGAGGAATATTTGTCACGTCTTTACTAGTGTGGTTTATGCACCTGATATTTGAAACCTATATGGTCCATAAGAACAAGTGTTCTTGTTTATTTTATTTTGATAATTTTACTCAAAACGATAACAAATTAATTGGTGAAGAAGGCTATTTCAGAAACCAGAATCCTCTTACATTCTTACCAAAAAATTCGTTGTAAGATTGATACGCTTTGTAGTTGTGCTCGAGTAGTGATCTGCTGTTGCAACATAAGTATAGAGCAAGTCGATGTACATGAAGGTAATTTAGGTACGAAATATTCGAAGGCATTAGGTGCGCTTACAACTGAGAAACAACCAATGGAAATGTGCTGCTTTGGTATCGGTATTAGCAGGTGTGAATGGAAAGCAACAATTAAATGTCATTCTCTTTCATCTTTATGAATCCGTCCCATCTGTCTAGACTTCTTCCGGCGATCGTTGAAGTGTTTTCGGAGTCTGAAGAAGCGATACGATTGCCTCCGGTAATTGCTCCGTTCTCCGCAGCAGTTGTAGTCAAGAAGGTAAATGTAACATCTTTATGCAAGTTCATTTCGAATGCTTAGCAATCTTTCTCGTTGATCCTCAAGCACTTCTCCTGTAACACTACGCGGGGCATCTCCTGGTGACAGCGGTTTAAGCTCGTTTTGAGACATAAGGAACGAAACGTGAAGCTCACTACGTCGACTGATTTTTGAGGGATGCGTCCTGCATTTGACTTAACTGAGGATTGTTGGGGGTGACTGAATACATGCACGACCCACGCAGTGACCTGTGGTGGCCTGCTGAAGCATCGTTAGTACTGCCAGTTCCTCGGGAAATTTCGTACCAGTTCGCTCAAGTCGCAGTAATAGAACTAAGCTTGCGGCACCGGTTCGAACCAATGATCACTCGTGCACTGCAGGGCACTTCAAACGACTGCGCTACAGGCCTTCCATCTAGAGACATAGTTGAGAACAAACGTACTCCATGTCCATGAAGATTTAAATAGAGATTTGTCTTCAGTATGTCGTAGGTATGACCAAAAACCATGAAAACAAAGGTTTCTATTGCCGTGCACCTAAAAAAGCACTCCTCTGGCTAATGTGTAATAAGATTTAATGCTAGGAGAAAATGTCAAAATTTCACTGCTTGCCGCAGCCGAATTAAAGCAGTTGAATTCTGTGTGGTAAAAAATGTGTTGTGATCCACTCCCACAGACATCGAAATCCTCCGTTGACTGTGTGATGATGCAGATCGAGAATAATAGGTCAGCTGAGTGGCCAAGAATAGAAGACACTGCACAATAAACCCAACCCCGTCTATAGTATCGCAGAACTCTCCCGAGTAACATACGATATAGATTTGATCGCATTAGTGTTACTCGTCATCACGAACGTGGCCTATGAAAACACCGAAATACTTCACGTTTGTGCCTTTTCAACTTCTTCAACACCAACCAGTGATGAGACAGAAAGGAGGTGTTTTGTAGAGAAATTGGAGAACTTCACAGGAATATTTACCACATATTTACAAGGTCACCATAGGTCACCATACACGAGGGAATATCGAAGTTACACAGCCGCAATGATAGTCAAGACTTGGGCCAAGACGAACAAAGCTAGTATCGAAGCTTTCGATTGGATCTTTCCAATGACCAGATATTGCTCTTGGTGGCAAACCTACATCTCAGAGGTTTCTATTCAAGTTATTGAGATTGAGGGTGATACCAGAAAACATATACGATGCGCAATGGAAATCGCACATCTAATGGAACGGAGGAAAGGAAAGACTACGAAAACGTAGGAGTGAAATTCAGTGAAACCCATATAACCAGGTTCCTTCTCCCTGTTTATAAAGGACCGGAAGGAACCTAGTTATATGACAGTTACCCTCCACCTTGAGGGTAAGAAACTTGCGTAAGGCCCTCGACCGATGAAAGCAAACCATTCCAGATGTTCAGTGAAGCATCCGATCAACGGTAAAATTCCCATTTAACCTGAACTTTAGATTTTTGAAGTCATTTCTTAATGATTCTTGCAGTTAAATTATTAGGATCTAATGCTGAATGCGATAACGGACATGACGCTGTCGAGTCTAGATCGTCAGCTGGAAGGAGATGTATTGTTCGACGACCGCGTTGAAGACACAGTAGGCAAACGAATAAAAGGACTTCTGGAGCTTGGTATTCCTCGAATCATTGTCATCGGAAAAGTTACCGAGGGCACAATAAATGAGGTACTCGACAACTATTGTACAGCTGGAGTGTCCAGTTTACCCGCTTAACTTGTTTTCGTTCAGGTTCCGAAATATGAATATATCTTATCTCATAGAGGATGTGGCGAACGGAAACAGGAACTATCATTAAATGAAATGATGCAAGTGATTGGATAGGATATTCTTCATAGATCTGTAGCAGCACATCCCAATATGATCTCAAGTTTCTATATTGATGGAATGATGAGATTAGGACCTTAGGATTTTTTGTAATAACTGCCTTAGGATGAATATCAGATTTGTTGAAGAGTAAGCTTTATGTGACTACACTTTATGTACATTTCTTCAATATGTCGACAATACTATAACTCTGCGTCCTTATCGGAATATTGTGGAGCGGGTAGTAAAGTAATTCGAACAACATGTTGACGACCTATCATAGCAAGTCCAATAGCTCGTGGCTCACCTGTTTCACCAGACCACCGCTCTTCTGATCTAAAAAAATACCTTGAATTGATTGTTAACGACTTAAATAGGCACAAATTTCATCATTTACTGTACCCTTCAAGAGTATTGAATGCTTTACGATGTCGCATGTAACCTTACGAGTCAAATATAAACTATGTGTTGCAGTGTATCCAAATCAAAAACGATTAACCATTCACCTTTTTTTAATTTTCTAGATGAACTTAAATAAATGAATTCAATGTGATTTCGATACTTCAAGGGAAATGAGTCAATTCTACACATCGATGCAGCCTTTTGAATTTAAAAACTAAAGTTGGATATAGAGTTCTTAGGAGAATTCCCTCAAACATCCAGAGTGACGTGTTGTTTCTTTTCAGCTAGCAATACGCCTCTGCGCTCTTTTCTCTTAAGAGTGCAGCCACTAGTCAATCAAGTTCTTGTTTCCTTCACTTGGTCAACATTACATCTTCACAGAAACAATCCCTCCAGTGGTATCAAACAGTGTGCAAAACATTTGACAGCAGACGGGAGTTTAACCCGCGTTTAACCCGCACCGAAAGTCCTACCACTACACCACCGATGGCACCGCCGTGCTATCACTCTTTTTCGATATATCCTATCATGGCTGTCAGCAACCAATCTATACGAGTTTGGTCGGATAAGCACATATTGACAAGAAACTCAGTTAAGTTGTCATTTATTCGAAAGCATAATCTTAATTAAATCTTTTCATTTCCACTGCTTTTTGCATGTTTTGCTTACCTCTCAGCACTTTCAGACATGTATTCATAGTATCATACCACTGCTCAAAGGTTAGCTGCTGATATCTACGATAGTAAATATGGCAGAAAAAGTAACAAATCGGCGGCATCGGTGATGTACTAGAAGCATGCACCCTTCCCCCCCCCCCCCCTTTCCGTATGGGTGAGGCGCGGGTTCAATTCCCGCCTGATGTCAGTCGTCTTGCATACCACTCAGCACTCTAAGAAGCATATTTATAACGTCACCACGGTACAAATCGGTTAGACGGCGACAAATTTATAAAACGCTCTCATTAGCTGGGCAGGAGCTTCTCACCCCTTTCCGAGTGGGTGAGGCGCGGGTTCAATTCCCGCCTGATGTCAGTCGTCTTGCATACCACTCAGCACTCTAAGAAGCACATTTATAACGTCACCACGTACAAATCGGTTAGACGGCGAACAAATTTATAAAACGCTCTCATTAGCTGGGCAGGAGCTTCTCACCCCTTTCCGAGTGGGTGAGGCGCGGGTTCAATTGCCCGCCTGATGTCAGGTCGTCTTGCATACCACTCAGCACTCTAAGAAGCACATTTATAACGTCACCACGGTACAAATCGGTTAGACGGCGACAAATATACAAAACGCTGTAATTCGTTGGGCAGGAGCTTTTCAAAGAAGTGTAGATAATCACTCGCAAGCTTTAATCTCTCTTTAGAGCCCTCTGTCGTTGGTTTTCAAAAATTCTTCTATAGCGCTAAAAACTCCAAATAGAATTACGTTTCCTAAAACCGTGTTTTTTTCCTTATCTCATTTCGCTAAACAGAACTCCTTCCTTAGAGTTCTAGTACTCATTTTATAGCACTAGCTTCGAAGAACTCAAAAATATGTTTGCTTTTTGAAAAAAGGTGTTCTGATCTTTGAACTCCTTTAGTATCTTGCCGTACAGAGCTCTTTCATTAGACTAATGATAATCATCCAAAAGCGTAATGTTTCCTATATCTATCGATTTGCTTATTTTCTGGTAATAAGGTTTACCGGGGAAAATAAGATGGGTTTTAAGCTTTTGGGTTTTAAGCTTTTGGTAAAGTTGTTTACAGGCACAAGGCGGAGGCCGTAGCAGGGGCGGGGCGAGGCGGAACGATCCATATGTTACTTTTCAATTGGAAATCTTTACCCCACTTTGAAAGAAACTCTAGATAGAACGACTGACTAAGATACTACGAAAGTTTCTCTACACTGATATAATTTTCCGTTTCTAGCGAATTTTACGCGAGATCAAAAATGAAGGTGCAAGGCGGTTGTGAAACATAATTTTTGATCTGGATGTTACAGCGTTACAAGAGGGTCTTGTCGAAAACCGAGAACGTGGCGCTGTAGCCCGAAACTAAGCTTTCGAATGATTACTGAAACTCCTACGAAAAGTTCCTGTCCAGCGAGTGAGATCGGTTTTTCATTTGTCGCCTTTTAACCGATTTGTACCAATCACGCCATTGCTGGGAACAATAAAAATGTGTGCATGATGCTAAGCATTTGTACCTGCCAAGTATGAAGTTGGCTGTCTATCAGTGCATAACATTTGACCACGGATAAGTCGACCATCAGTCAATTCTACTTCCATCCATCTACCCATATACTGTGCCACATATTCCATACTCTATCAACAGTTGGAAATGACTTTCATTTCGAGTGTTTTCTTAAGACCACAGCTCAAATTTCAATATGCATGGTAATCTTTTTTGAGCCACGCATGTCAGTGGTCTGTCTCTTTGACTCTTCGACAGACCACTGACATGCGTGGCTCGAAAATCATTACCAAGTAAATTGAAAGTTGGAAATAGCATCACTAGTTTTCCGAATAGTTTCCAAACAAATTCATTCTATCCCAATATGATCCAGTTGTCAACTTTTACAACAACGTATTGATTCAAAGACTGAATACTTTACTTTGAAATAATTAGTACGTAAAAGAAACCAATGAATGTAATTGCAACAGCGCCAGTCTTGGATATAAAATGGTGTACAATTACAGGATATGATGACAGTGAACATCTTCATAGATCAGAACCATAGCACAGAAGATGGCTTCAGCTTAGGAGAGTCCAGATTTTGGCAATGACACAAGAAAGACAGATACAGGAACGAAAGCTTCTTATGCTTCATATCAATAGCAGTCATTTTTTATACAGCACGAGTTACATAATACTCGCTATTAGATTCATAAAATTGAAACCTGGCATATCAAATATGTAACAAGATACAAGTCCAGTAGAGATGGAAGCAGTTTTTCTAGCCAAATATGATTATAATTAGTAACAGATATGCAGCAAAAGGAGCTGACAAGTTGGACTTGCGAGTGGCTAGGTGACTGAGCAGATCACGAATAATTTAACATCTCTAGGCTGAAAGTTCAGTAAGCACTTTAATATCGCCGTCGTAAAGCTGTGACACGGCTAAGACTTTGGATGATGAGTACTTTTCACGTACAGCTGCCAGCTTCGGTAAAGAATGAAGCCTCAGAAACACTCTTGCGAACACTGTTGCCAGGGCTTCCGTTTCTTCGGCTGTGATACCCGTCAATTTCCTGAAATGTATACTCAGAATGCTGCATAATTCCAGGTTGCTATGGCGAATTAATGAGCGCATGTGGCGCAGTGGTTAGAGGTGCTGCGCGTCGCACACGAGGTCAATGGTTCGATCTCGCGCTCATAGCTCACCAAGCCATCCATCCCTCCGGGGTCGGTAAATCGGTACCAAACAAGTCTCAGACTTGTCTGGGAGGATAAGCAACACTGACTCGGTTCAGCGGGAGGCCTCCGCGAGTCAGTGTAAAGGACAGATATGCATTCAATCACCTCAAAACGAAGTTAGAAATTGAAGTCGAATGCATGGCGCATCCCTCAGGGATTGATCAACGCCAAGAGCTTTATCCTTTATCCTTTTTATCGCAAGCCGTTGTAAAAGTCAGATATGCATTCAATCCCCTAAACAGCCTATCTTCAACTCGTTCTAAACGACGGCTATTCTGAGCTGGCGGGCGTTCGGAAGGCTGAGAAGAGCGCCCGCTTCAATAATACTGCGGGAGCTTTCAGTGTGGTGTTCTTATTTTAGAAGTGGGATTTCGGGAAGCATTGGCGTTGATCTTACTCAAGTTGTCCCTAAGAGAGTTTCCTCTGCGACATTCGCAAATTCAGCAAGATCAATGTATCCTGAAGATTCCGATTTACCAGATTTGTATCGGTGCGCGCACCAAACTTCGTAAATCGTCCGAATGGAGCTAACAGGCGTGCATCGAAAACTATGCACGCTGTTCGGAAAGAGTTGACTACACTAACGCGCTAAGAATTCGGGACTACATAATACTCTCTATGTAAAGACTAAAACTACCCTGGTTATACGTGGGAATGCACGAAAACATCAACTTTGCATAGTACCAACTTTTCATTAACTACACAGATCACATATACACAAATTTACGCTTATGGGACCGGGATTTCCTCACTCTTTTAGCGAGCTTTTAGTAGCCATTCAATAGCTTGAATCTCGGTAATTTCAACAATGTACCTGATTCTCTGAAAAAGCCTTGTTAGCACGCTGTAGCAGCCAGCATAAAATTATGCTTCACTTTCGGCGCGAATTATTTGTACAGCTGGCGTCTACGCTTGGCTTTTCACTAGACTTTTAGTACACAAAATCTAATTATTCAAACACTTCATAGCGCGCCGTAAGAACGAAAAGAAGACTAAGTTTCAGCGGCGGATAATTTATGCACCAAAAGCAACCGAAAATTGCGTGCCTATTCATAGCGCTGCATGCAGCCGCCTTAAAGAAAGCCATTTCTGCTAAGAGTTTCAATAATTTTCCCCATTTCCGAAACCTCTTACTATTGTGAGACAGGACAGCTTTCTCTACACGACTATATGCCTTTGGTGTATGCATGTCAAAGTGCGAATCGTAACGTTCTTTTCGCTGTTACAAGACTCTATAAGATCCTCTTCAAGAATCAAATGCAGCCTCAAATTCACCAAAATTTAATCGTTCAAATGTTCACTGGAAGTCTAGTGAAATGTCAAGTACAAAACGCAAGCCGTGCAAATAATGCGTGCGGAAGGTCAAACGTAGTTTTCTCTTCGCCGTCACAGCGTGCTAACAAGGCCTTTCCAAAACCAGCACAGTATTAAATCGACGAAATCTCCGGTGTTGAACGACTACTAAAAGTTAACTAAAATGATTTGTGCTGATAAGGGCATCTATGACTTTTTCTTGGAACCTTTGCTGAAGTATTCATATATAGTCTTTGGGAACGTCTTTAGCCGTCTTTTCAAGATTTGTTATATTATAATCCGTTTATGGCAACAGCTCGCATACACCGCGTTTCGGCAGTCTCACCATCATCAATGTCTTTTCGCTGCCACTCGCCCCTATCATAGAGAACAAGCGAAGAAAAAATGGTAAAGCGTCGGCAAGAAAAATCATGCCT